GACAGCATTTCTTATTGGTTGATTTCTTGATAGCAGCCATTCTTTCTGGGGTGAGGTGGAAACTCAGTGTTGTTGTCATTTGCATTCTTTCAAATGACCGGTGATGTTAAACATTGTCTCATATATTTATTTGCTGTTTCTACTTCTTTGTGTAAGAAATGTGTGTTCATTTCAGATGCCTATTTTTTGGATTGGGTCTTTAAATTTTGTGGGTCTGATTTTTGTAAATTCTTTATATATTCTAGATAGTAGACCTTAGTCTGAGGAACAGCTGGTAAAAAATTTTTCCTACACTGTGGGTTGTCTCTTCTCATCTTATTGAAAAGCTTCTGCCCAGCAAGAGAAACCACAGTGTGAAGAGACAAAGGAACCAGAAGTAAGCATTATTTGGCTACACTTGTTACAGTGCTTGTCTAACAATTTCCCAAAGTGTAGGTGAAAAGGTCTTATTCATGCACCTTCCATTGGTTCCAATCCAAGTCCTTAACAGTGTGGGAACAAGCTAATGATTCACAAGCTTAATGGGACCACACAGGATTGTACCAGGTTATACGGACCCCAGCTGCTATCCTCTGTCTCTGCACATGTGTGCCTTTTGCAGTCTTCCCACCTAAATTATTCGTAAAAAAAAAAACCCTACATGGAGGTCCCTGAGTTAACACTCTCACAAGGCCTAATTACATTCCTTAGGACAAAAAAGAAGTTTTATTTCTCCAGGTAATACTCTAGTGAGAACACAGAAATGGCAATAGTAATTCTAAGAAAGCAAAATAACAAGGTAGTCATTAACAGAAACCTATTTTGTTCAAGCCTGTTAGGAAGCTGGAGGGCAGAAAAGATGATGGCAATCATACGCAGGAAAGTGCAGCGAGGGGGGAGAGCCTTGTTAATTGCAGACCCGCTCATGCTGGTGGAAGCTGGCATGGCTGGGAAAATGATGGCCGAATGAGCAAGGGGGAAACAGCCAAGAACCAGAATGCTGTATCAGGACGCTAAGACACAGTCTAGAGAGGGACTGCTATAAAAATGGACACAAGAAGGATGAAAGACATTAATTATCCAACATTTTGAAAGTGGGGATCATTTTTAAATGATAGTTAAAATGAAAATCATCTCGGCTAACATGAAACACTTGTTATCAGGACTATTACTTGCATTGTGCATATTAACTTCTTTACTTTTTTGAAGTCTATGAAGTGAATATTATATGAAACCCACAGAGATATGTAATAACCTTTCCAAGATCACAGAGCTAATAAATGAAAAAGGAAGTAATGAATCCCAGGTATTCTAGCTGGGCCATTAGCCATGATGTTTTACTGTCTCTCTAACAAGTACAAGAGAGGGGGAAAGGTTCATGATGCTTCCCACGGATGTGTTATTGAACAGAAATATTCTATTCAAAATGCCTTCTTGACAGGCACAATAGCACATGCCTATAATTCCAGCTTCTCAGGAGGCTGAGGCTGGACAATTACAAGTTGGAGGCCAATTTAGTAAGACCTTTTCTCAAAGTAAAAATGTAAAAAGGGCTCAGCTGACGATTTAGCTCAAGTATGAGTGCTTGTCTGGCAGGTATGAGCTCAAGTTCAGTCCCCAACATACAAAAGGAGAGAGAGAGGGAGAGAGAGAG